CCGTGGGGACTCGTAGGAACCTGCCCGTTTCAACGATCCGGGTTAGGTCCAGATCCAACTCCAAAAACCCCTCCACCCAGCCCCATTTTATTTACAAATGGGTTCGGTCTGGTTCTTTCAATTTTGGGCCCGGCCCGGCCCGTCCCCACCCCTAACCTCAATTGCTGAAGACCTAATGCGAAGTTTTGTTTGAGTATTTACACCCTCAAGGGGGAGTGTTGCAGTCATATTTAGAATAGGAATGTGATTGTGTAAATTATAGTGTATCTAGGGATATCTTGGAATATTTCCCTTAGTAGATAATATTCTATTAGAGTTGTAACATATTAGGGTAAGGATTTAACCTATCCTACTACTATAAATAAAGGCACAATGGGTTGAAATACAACACACCTCACAATTAAATCTCTCTCTTCTCTCTCTTATTGCTGCCAGCCTCCCCCTCTCTATTCCCTTAGAATAGTTCAGTCAATTAGGCCTACAACACTTATTATATTATGATATTATTATTTTTATATTATAATATTAATTAATTTACAATTTAACACGAACACTATACAAATATAAATATAAATAGATAATAATCTAACATAACCTATTACCATTTTTGATAATCTACAAAACTTCAATCCATTGTTATATTGATTAATTATAACACTCATCACATGATGCAAATTTATCCAAAAGATGCATCAGTTTGTTAGAAAAGCACATGGTGAAGTCTAATTCTGTCCCATGTACCCTATAGGCTATAGCAGTTAAAAATTGTCGTAATATGTGTCTCAATACAAGCAAATGTGCGGTGACCCTGAACCCACAAACAAAAGCTACAAAAACTGCAGCCTCAGCAATCGTCTTGGCATGTGTGGCTACATTATATTCGATAATTTGATCAGAGACCAAGTTGATGTTCTTTTAATCCCATTTGAAATTCTTCCAGTACATGTGCCTTTTCATAAAGGCAGCATAGCATAATTGTGACTTCTCATTTTTTGACAACATATATCCTATATCAATGTATAAAATATACTCTAATATCTCAAGGGAGTAATTCAAACTTAAGTGCAAATGAGAGAACACATTTGCAAACTGACCTAACCGCACCTGTCGCGTTGTACCTCTTGATTAAGATTTAAGAGCGTTAGACTTTGCACATTATGAATAAAAGAACCCAAATTTACCTAAAAAAGACTAAAAGTTTGCTCTCATTTTTTAAATGGATATCAGTTAAAGTTCTATACAAGTTTCATCATTATGCCGTGCGCATGACATGAAGTGCAGCTAAATCTATTTTAATTCTTTATCATGCTGCAGCACAGGATTTGTTTATTGCCTTCATACGAAGTTTCTTGATTTGGTTTGGTGCCTAAAGAATGAATTTACCCATTTCAACTGATTTAGTGATTAAATTAATAAGCACATTATTGTTTGTTTAATCCAAAGTTTTGTTCCTAGGTCAAGTTACATTCCTAGCCCACCTTTAAAAAAATAAATAAATAAATAAGTGAGATAGTGGGTTTGAACTTTTGCAAATTTGTAGTCCTTAATTAACCTTTCAATCACCTTTGAAAGCATAATTACGAAATAAATTTCATGGTGGCTAGCATCAAGATATGTTCCCTTGACGATTAAAGATTAAGATTCCTTCCAACTTGCTATTTAACAATTGTTTTCTTAAATGCTGTGGCCTCCTAATGTCAGATTAATACAATCACTACAATAACTGAAAGTTTGGAGATCCGAATTTCTAGCAGGACAAGCATACACTATCGTTTTAATCGATACGTTTGGGAGTTGTTGATATTTTAAAACAATCGTCATGCATTTCTTAAAGTGTAATTTCTCTTTTATAGTTTTACGAGAGGAAAGTGTATTATGATTGTTGGAACACAAATTGTAGCACTGGTCTAGACGATTGAGATTGAACTTGCAAAATAAGTAGAAAACCTCAAAGTGCTTAGAAGGCACTGATCTGGTGCTAGCCAAGGACCCTCCGACAGTCACGTTAGAATAGAACTTGTGATTCTCAAAGCAGTAGGTTTAGTTTGTTGGGTACATAGACATATCTATTCATAGTGTTGGATGGGGAGTCCTTTGGGAATTATGAACCCTGGCGTTGGTGTAACTTGATAGGGTTTTTTTACCAATAGAGATAAAAACACTTGAAAATACTTGCAAGAGTACAAGGTTGTTGTAGTATAGCAGCTCAAGTAAGGTCGTTTTTCATAGGGATTGAATGAATAATTTTTGTTTAAAACCAACTCTTAATTAATTATTTAAAACAAAGTTTGGAAAATGTTGATTGTAGAATTTAATATAATAAAAACGAATTTTAAAATAAAACAATTAAAGAAATTAACTAGACAACAATTTAAAAGAAAATTAATTTGTAAAAGCCTAAGGTTCCGTTGTCCCCTTAACAATCCTACGCAATTTTATCAATTATTTATGAATTTCCACACACATGCTTTGAAATTAGGTTTTCCTAATGCATATTTTCCTCGTGATGTTCAAGAAAAAACATATATCTAACATGCAACCCATCTGTGATGTTCAGATCAAATATAAACATGCAAGACTCATTAAGTTTTGTGAAAACCCTTTGAAAAACCATGCAACCCTTAAGAGCATGATGTTCACTTTCAGTGAACTTACAATTACTAATCACAAGAAGCCCTCCTCAATTTTAGGATGATGTTCCAACAGAAATTGCATCAATTTACTTGTCTAAAAACCCTAATGGTCGCGAATCACTAAGACAATTAGATAGGTTAAATCGCCGTGATTAATAATTCAAAGCAAGCATGCATCCATTCATAAGCAAATTAATAAAATCACATATTCATGCTAAGGCTCATAATTAGTTACGAACAATCATAAAACAAAATATTATTGAGAATAAGGATATAAAACACCTAGAAAATAAACTTGGAAAACTCTCTAAAGTGTGCATGTGTTTCCTCCTCTATTTCTTGTGTTCTAAAAAACCCTAATCGCTAAAAAGCCTTATTTATACTACTACAAAATAAAACCCTAAAAGGTCTTAGAATAAAACTAGGAAACATAATAAAAATAATAAAACAGAAATTAAAGGTTTCCTATTTAAACTAAAATTCGGACTTCTCAGACAATCAGACTTTTGACTAACCAAATCAACTCCGATTTGGTCCCAAAATGTCTCTTTTGAAAGCTTAAGACGTCCCCTATAAATACTCAGAATAAATCTTTCTTAAAATATTCCATCTTGACCTTCAAAATGCCCAAAACGTCCAGAAACGTCAATCTGGGAAAGCTGCGCGCTGAACCTTTATTTCATTGCCACGGTCAAACGGCTTGGTAGAAAAATCTGAAACTTTGATACAATCATCTTGAAAGACTAACGAACATCCTCCAATAGAAATCACTCCAAAATTCATCCGTTTGATCACTTTTTGCTCTAAAGGAAGTCAAATGTCCTACATTAGAAATTTAACTTAAAGTATCAAAATTCTACCAAAATAACCAATAAATTAAGGTAAAATATATAGTATAATATTGGCCCATCATAACTCCAAATTAATGAGGAGATAATGCGAGAAGATCTCTCCTTACCCGTATAAGGTTCTTGTGATTACTTGGAGTTTAAACTAAGACTCATTATCTTATTCCCAAATAGTTTGAGAGGTAGACGTTAATTCAATTTAGATACACCACGAGGCTTGTGGCCTAAGTAACCCGCATAAATAGAACTTATCCTATCTCGCACCCGGAACGTACCTAGACTCCGAACTTGGGGAGTCCGGTTCGTTAGGCACATACTTGCCTACGTTTTCATTTTGGGCAGTTTTGAGTTTCCCTGACTTTAGTCGCATTTGGATTGCTAGACATCCAATGCAACGTGGCAACGTCCTAAAGTCCTGGTCCCCAAATGATCTTAGATTTTAGTGTCAATAAAAGTTCTTTATAATTCCTTGAATTCATAGTTCATTTTATGCTATGTGTACTAACTTCTAATGGATATTAATATTATGCGTTTAATAACACATACATAATCAAAACGTGTGTAAATCCCATACTAAAATTCGTAATTCAACACCTAAAGAACCAGAAATAATTAAACATGCAATTCGAGGAGATTAATTAAAGGATGGAAAAGTAACGTCCTCTAGGCCTTCCATCGTTTGTCATAAAAACTCATAAACAATCACTCTTACAGTAGGCCGAAAATTTTGAGAGTAATACTAATATATTGAACTCACATTAGTGTAAAAGCAGTGTTATAGGTATCAAACTCAGACAACTTGATTCCTATGTATAGGTATGACACACAATCAAAGCTATTGTGAAACTCTAAGACAAATTCTTAGGTGCTCCGGAGCGTACTCCATAAATTTTAATCGTTAAATCTTGATTTTTATATTTTTAAACAAAAATTTAACAATTAAAATACCGAGTAATCCAAAATATCCAAGAAAGTCCCAGGCTAAGATGCACCATACCTACCATTGTAAATAAATTCCTACCTCAACATTAACCGTCTACCAAATCTCATGGGTAGAAACCAAAACCAATCACTAAGGGGGGTGTATTCAATTGGGATTTTAAGAGATTTTAATTCTTTTAATGAATCTAGGGGTATTCAATTAGGATTTTAAGTGATTCTCTGAAATTCTAGATGTATTCAATTAGAATTTTAAGATAGTTATTAAAATCCTTAGAAATCCAGCGGTATTCAATTAAGATTTTAAAGAAGTTTATAACATTCCAGGTGTATTCAATTAGAAATTGATTTTAAAGAATTTGAAAAAGTTGAGGAATTAGAGAGAATTAGAGAGAATTGGAGAGATTTCGTAGTGTATTTTAAGCATCCACAAATCTCATCTCTTCCCATGAGATTTCGAGGGAATTGAATCAAAATTTTATATGGAATCTCTACAAATCAATTAAACTCCATAAAAATCCACGGATTTATAAATCAATTAAAATCTCTCACATTCTCAATTGAATACATCCCCCTAAGTTTCTACCATTTTGTTTTTGTAACAAGAGAACAAAAGATTATAACCAAATACAAACGTCACAAAATATGTCCTATTCGATCGCTTCACCACTTAAAAGGAAGTCTGAACCTCTTTCTTCTCCATGCTTGAGAGTCTGTCCCCCTTTCCCCGCATCTTCTATAGCTCTCCAAGTATTCGATTCTTGCATAGGCTGCTTTCTGTCACTCTCACTTTGTATCAGCCATAACCGATGATCCATGTGGTCAAATAATTAGCGAGTCCTATGTTTTCACTGCCTCTTAGAAACCACCTATCCCACCAAGCCATCAAACCCTCATTTTATTCACCTAAAACGTTCTACCAATCCCACGCTTATAGTCCAGTCCAATCCAATGCCACCATGCCACCAAAACCTTCCTGACCAAATGGCAAATATTCTGAAAATTTTCTGTGTTGTTCTTCTTCTCCTCGCAATCTTAGCTTCATCCCAGGCGACTGAGCTCTTCTATCCCGGATTCAAACACGTGGGTTCCAATCTAACCTTATCCGGCGCGGCAGAGATCGAAAAAACCGGCATGTTAAAATTAACCAACCGCACCAGCAGGCTGATGGGTCATGCTTTCTACACTTCACCAATTCAGTTCAAGAACTTATCCAACGGCAAAGCCTTCTCGTTTTCGACCTCATTCGTCTTCACCATCGTCCCCGAGTATCCAAAGCTCGGTGGCCACGGCATGGCCTTCACAATCGCCCCCTCCAAAGACCTCAACTCTCTTCCAAGCCAATACCTCGGTCTCCTCAATCGCACTGAAATCGGCAACTTCTCCACTCACATCTTCGCAGTCGAGTTCGACACGGTTCAAGATTTTGAGTTTGGTGATATCAACGATAATCATGTTGGAATCGACATCAACAGCTTGAACTCAAATGCCTCGGCTGCTGCAGCTTACTACAAAGACTCTGTTTCGAAACAGAGTCTTAATCTCAAATCTGGGAAACCAATTCAAGCATGGATCGACTACGATTCGGGTCGAAATCTCATGAACGTAACGATTTCGCCATCTTCTTCAAAGCCCAAAATTCCAATTCTTTCTTTCCATGTGGATCTTTCTCCGATTCTTCAAGAATTTATGTACGTTGGGTTTTCGGCTTCGACCGGTCTGCTTGCTAGCTCCCATTACGTATCAGGGTGGAGCTTCAAGATCGATGGAGAAACCCGACTTCTTAACTTGGGTTCTCTTCCTTCTCTTCCAAAACCAAAGAAAAATCACACATCTTTAATGATCGGAGTCTTGGTTTCCACCATAGCTCTCGCTCTGTCTGCAATCTCTGTTTCAATTTACATTTTCATGAAGAAACTCAAGAATTCCGATCCGGTAGAGTCATGGGAGCTGGAGCTGGGCCCACATAGATACTCCTACCAAGAATTGAAGCAAGCCACGAAAGGGTTCCGTGACAAAGAGCTGCTCGGGCAAGGCGGGTTCGGGCAAGTGTTCAAAGGCACGCTCCCAAACACGAAAACACAAGTCGCAGTTAAGCGAATCTCGAACGATTCGAAGCAGGGCTTGCAGGAATTCGTGTCGGAAATCGCCAGCATTGGGCGTCTCCGCCACAGAAACCTGGTTCAGTTGCTGGGTTGGTGCCGGCGGAGAGGCGACCTTCTTCTAGTTTACGATTTCATGGAAAATGGTAGCCTCGACAATGCCTTGTTCGACCAGCCAAAAACCGTGCTGAGCTGGGAACAGAGGTTTAAGATCATCAAAGGGGTTGCTTCCGCGCTGGATTACTTACACGAAGGATATGAACAAGTTGTGATTCACAGAGATGTGAAGGCCAGCAACGTGCTGCTTGATAATGAGCTAAATGGAAGGTTAGGAGATTTCGGGCTCGCGAGGCTACACGAACACGGCTCGGTTTCAAGCACTACGACTAGGGTTGTGGGGACTTTGGGATATTTAGCGCCAGAGATGCCGCGGACGGGGAAGGCAAGCACCGGCTCGGATGTCTACGCATTTGGCGCGCTTTTGCTGGAGGTGGCTTGCGGGAGGAGGCCAATTGAGCCGAAAGCGGCAGCGGAGGAGCTGGTGTTGGTGGATTGGGTCTGGGAGATGTACGAAGAGGGAAAGTTACTTGAGGTGGTAGATGAAAGGCTCCATGGGGAGTTCTGCGAGGAGGAGGTGGTGATGGTGTTGAAATTAGGGCTGATGTGTTCGAATCATGGGCCGTCGGATCGGCCTAACATGAGGATGGTGGTTAGGTATTTGGATGGGGAAGTTGAGATTCCGAAGGACTTGAGGGCCCCACGTAGAAGGAACGGTGGTGATCATGATCACGAAGCTGCGTTTGGTGACATACTCAAGTCTTTTGCTTCGTCGTCTTCGTCTGATAAGATGAGCTTGTGTTCTAATAGGGATATGGATGCTAGTTTCACTTCGATTTATACTTCTCCACTCTGTCTTCAACAAGGGGAAACCAGATAGCCTATAGATTTTTTTTTTAATTTTCATTTTATTTTGGTGGAAATTTGTTATATGAAATATTGTTGACGAATGTTTGACAAGAACAAGAAATACGTGCAAAATGCAAATTATTCACCAACCCAAATTTCTAAAGAAGTTTCTACTTAAGTAAATGTTAGAATTATTATTATTATCTTTTTTTTTCTCATCATTATTATTTTTTTTTAATTTTATTTGTTAAGAGTAGGGAAAAAGTTTGAAATTATTACAATCATTCGTGAGTTGGAGTTTCGAAACCAGAACGTATGAGTAGTAACCCAATACCATATCTACTAGAATATTAGACCAGATGCAAATTTTTGCTAGCATTATATGTTTCATGTATTTCAATGAATAATCAACCATATTAATTTGGAAACCGGAGAAATGTGTGCGTGTGTGCATGCATATAGAGAATATTCGTCCCCACAATATCCGTGTGTCACTCTCGCCTTCTTAACTCTTATTAGTCCTCCTCGCTGGAATGCATAAAGATTCAACAGAGCAGTAAGGTATTGCATCATGTCTCAACATTTTTTCCTTTGTGTACTACTACTACTACTACTAATTAAATGCACATGAGTTGTTCCAATTCTTTGTACATTTCAACTATGGTTTACATGTATAATTTCATGAGACCCACATTTTCTCAGAAAATTGAATCAGGAGTTGTGACAACTCTTAGTCGATCTCTAGTATTTCCCTCATTTCAATTCATCCATGTTCGAAAACATTATGCAAGGTTGCTACCAAATCTCTTGTTCGGATATTTAGGTGTAAATTACGCAAGTTTAAAACGTTATATGTTAAGCGCCTGTCATGACTAGAACTTGTCCAAAAAAGGGGCCTGTAGGAAAGAGGTGCCTAAGAGCTCTTAAATCATCTCAATCTGTTATGATAATTTTCTAATCTTTAATATCGGATATACAATGCATTTGTCACTTAGTACTACGGTATAGTGATTTCCTCCTTATTTGTATGTAAGAGGTTTTAAGTTCAAATTTTGTAAATAGTAAATTCGATACCAATTTATCCCCTACCCATTTGTGTAAATATATAATTGTATTTTAAAAAACATACAAAATTAATGTGCATAGATAACTAAAATAATAAAAGAAAAAAAACAATGAAAAGTTCCATTGGCATCCATATGAAAGAAGTGCGGCGCTCAGTTAAGGGAAATGCCCTTTTAATTTTGCATGAATATCAAAATAATGCCTCTTTATCTCAGAGCTTAGTTAGTTTATATCAGAGCATATTTAATTTATATTCAACTTGTATGGACGGTGCGAGTGGGAGTGGAAAGGTCTAAGAGAACATTGCAACGTCTGCGGACTCGTGAGAAAGATGATGGAATTGGAGTTGTTGAGCTCGGTGTGTGGAAATATTCCTCCTTTTCCAAAATGGCCAACTGCCAATCCTTTGTGCTGTTTGTTAACTATAGATAAAATTGGAATGTTGTCAACTTGTTATATTATATAGGGGTTTTATCACCGATTGTTCCTGAGATTGACCAAACTCATCATTTTGGTTCCTCACTTTCAAAATCAATCAATGTCGTCCTTGAGGAGTTTGAGGAGTTTGATCGATGTCACTTTGAAACTCAAGGACAGGAATGAGGAGTTTGATCAATGTTGGGAACCATTTGCAATAAAAACCCTTCTCTTGTATAATCCACGTGTCACCATTTTATTGGATTTGTGGATCCCACATACAAACTAACAAAATAATTGACGGAATCTAAATGGAATGACCAAATTCATGTGTGGTAGTGAATGTCAAGGACGACATTGATTGATTTTGAAAGTAAGGAACCAAAATGATATGTTTGGTCAATCTCAATGACCATTTGTGATAAAAAAACCTATTTTATATATATATATATATATGCAGAGCATGCATCTTACTTAATTGCCCTAGTTGCACTTGTTTACAGTTTAGAATATTACAGATAAAAAGAGTAATTTTCAGGCCACAAGATTAAATCAATCAAAATTTTCATATTCCTCTTTTAAATAAGAGTTCATGAAAACACTGGTATATCTAAATTAATAATCTATATAATGGTACGCAACTGTCACGCAACGTAAGAAAACTTGTTATTAGCATTTTATAAAAATTATCTTGCATTTCATGTGTATAAAAATAATAAAAAAAAAAGAGGGAAAAAACATTTGAATGAGCGATGAATGTACTTTCAGAGTACAAATAACAATACCTTCAAACAAGTTGGAAACAGACCATCACATATTAATTTAGATAAAGGTAATGTTACGCATATTAATTTTTTAAATCAAAGTTTGTAAATTATATGATTTGATTATTAATGATTAAATTATTACTTAAATGTTGATTAAAATACTTATTTTCTATTGGTGACATGTCATATGATTTAAGAATTTAGTAATCTAACTAGCATTACTCATTGGATAATATTGTTTCTTTTCAAATTAAAACTATTAATTAACTGAAATCTTAACAATTTAGCATCTCAACTATCCAAGCCTAATATAATATTTGAAATGATTAAGAGAGCTCAAGTTTGATGTTGAGAGGTTCCACTAGTATTAGTACGGATGACCAATTTAATAAATTTAATACCACTTTATTTTCTTGACAGACTCATTGTCTGAAATCCCTTTCCCATATGTTATTATTTAAGTTTATGTATTTTGTATTTACACGAATTTACTTTATTTTCATTAATTTTAGATTTTTAATTAACTAGTTATAAAGTTTGAATTTTCATCTCTAGCTAGTAAAAAATTGTAGGCCTTACAAGGTCACACTAATTAGGTATATCTGGATAAGCTCAATTTCACAAAAGGTAAGTGAAAACCGTTCGCGGAACGGAGTTGTAACGAAGGAGAAATAAACGATTAAAGGTAGGGGCAAAATGGTCAATGGGGACCTTTATAGTTATAGAGTGGCTCCAAGAAGTGTGGAAGGGGGGAAATCGCAGATTAACCCGACGACTCGGTTCCTTGCATTTCGACCCAGCAGATTGGAAAAATTTCAGGATCTTTTTCTGGAGAGTTTTAATGGCAAGGCTTATCGCCACCACCACCACTCCACTTTTCTCCCTCCCACAAGCATAACCCACCCAAACCTTGCTCCTATTTGTGTTCGGGCAGGAAATCTGGCTGATGGGCGTTCCTGACTCGAGCACACAGCTCCCCAAGGAGTTTGCACTTTGGTTGATTGTCGGGCTCCTGATTGTCGCAATGCTGCAAGAGGAGAACAAAGTTAGTTCTGAAAGGTGCTTTGTGGGGCCTTTGGTATAAGCCTTGAGGCTCGCAATCAAAACCAACTAAGTGCTTAGGTGTGCCACTACCATCTCTCTATGGCAGATGTAGAACAAGTGTGTTTTAAGCTGATTACTTCCGCCCCAAGTTATTTCTAACTTCTTGTTTATCAAAGGATTGTTGTAGATTTGTTAAGTCTACATTAAGTTCTTTTCTATGCCTTGAGATCAAGGACTTTTAGTTATCTTGTATGTTTAAATGGTGAAGGTCCATATATGATCAAGACATCAATTTTAACTCCAATTTTCTTGTGACAATAAAACCATTAAGTGAACCAGATCTGAGAACTGATGGGGTTTTGAGTCATCAAATGATTGGAAACATCTTGAATATAAACTGGGGAATGCATTATAACACCAAATCTATTAATTGAAAGACAAAACAAAGGGGGTCGGGCAAGATTTCACCTTGTCGAGCAATGTTAAATGTCTTGCAGTCTCTTCTCTTTGTAGTTACAAAAGGATTGAGTACTGAAGGGGGATGACTGGAAAAGAGTTTATACAAGAGAGATCGATACTACAGTATTTAGGAAAGGTAGGAGAGCTTTTACATAGACAAAAGATGTCTTTCTAAGGAAATCTAAGGCTAAAAGGGTATAGAGTTTGGACAAAGCACGGCTTTCTGGGTGTTTGCTTGGCTAAGAGAAAAGTTGTATGTTTGTTTGTTTGATTGGTTGAGTATCCTTGCCTTTGGGCCCTCTTCCTCCTTTTTAGAGATGAATTAACCCGACTTATGCTGTTTCTGTTCTTGCCTGAAAGCAATTGGAAGGTAGGGAACCATCAGTATTTTACATGCTATGCCATTCATAAAGTGTTTTTGGGCCGAGAGTTGGTAGATTTCCATCGGTTGTCACTTCCTTTGTAAGCACCTAACCTTTGTATTGAATGAGGAGCCATCATGTTGTCTCGAAGTGGACATTTGGACTTGGTGCTGGGCTTCAGGTAGAAACTCCTCTTATTGAACTCTTTTGGGCTTTCTCTCCGCTAAGCCCACAGTTAAATATTAACCCAAATAGTGCCCCCTTCAATTGTTGTTAAGCTTGCAAACCGAGGTGCTAATAATGATTGAATAGTTGTCTTCTATTAACCACTGTCGCACGCATTCTCCTTGGAACTTGCACCGTTCCAAAAGCAACCGTTTTAACTAATCTGAGACCTTTGCACTAACCCATGAATTCTAACCGTCACTCGTTCCTTCGCTATAGAACCCCCTTCTCCGGCTAAACCTTTTAATCAATTCAAGCCCTTTTAATTATCAGAGTTCCCAAAAATCCCTTAAAGCCCTTAGTCGCTATTCCAATCCTTATCTAAATGTTCAAAAGTACTTGAAGCTGCATGACTCAAGTTTTGCTTCCCTAATTTTTAGACAGCCACATTGTTAGTGTAGATTATATGAATCCCATATAAGGATATCTTGAATTTTTTTAAGGGAATTTTTTTTAACCCAATTTTATCGGTTCGGTTTTTTTTTGTTTGAGTTCAGTTCGATTTGATTTTGGTTCAATTGTGTCGGCTCGGTTTCTGTAAAATTTCAATATTTAAAAAAACAATTATCAACCTTTGTTTATTAACAATGAGTAAATTACATAAAACTACCTCAGTTATGGGTCAAACTACAATCTCATACCTCATGTTTTAACATTGCAATGTTATACCTTAACTTATGAATTTGTTGCAATGTTAGACCTCTAATAAATTTTCTGTCAATTTAGCAGTTAAATGTTGACGTGACAAGCAGCAGGCCCACCCACTCATCCAACTGGAATGATAAAATAATTAAATATTAAAATTTCAAGAATATT